AACATCTCAGTCAATAATCTAGCTAGTATTGTGGAAATAAAAGTCAGTAGCAATGAGAGTGAGCTTTAAGCACTCAACCACTGCTTTAGGTCAAATAAACATCTAATAATTAAATTGAACACGACTACTGAAGTAAACGATAAAATTTATGCTGGGAAGTGAATATTGACAAATCTTTCTCTCTTTGACAAAAGAGTATATTCTTCTGACAACAGATTGGATACTTGGCATGTATCATGGCCTTTCAAGTAGCTATTAAATAATAGAAAAATAAAAAAAAAAAGACCTTAATCTTAAATTGGGTCTGTTCTCAATGCTTGAACTTAACTTAGGCAGTTTTGTTCTGGAGATCCTTTCTTTACATACGAAAAATTAAGGTGTTGGGATAAGTAACTTCAAAAATTCCTTTTACATCCAAAATGCTATGGTTATGATTCTGTGCTGCTTTTGTTATTGTTGTTAGGTCCTAAACATCAGACACTCTGTCAGAGTGAGCTACTAAGATAAATGGAGCAATGATATGATCTTACTCAATTTTATTTCCTTTCTGTAGTAGGCGTTCCATGGAAAATATTTCTACTTCATAAAATTTCACATGGAAATAAAACCACTAATATTACCTTTATCATTTTTAATCAAAAGAATATATAAAATATATATTGAGCTACTATTTCTTGCTTTCCATCAAAGTGAATATGCAAATATAAAATAACACATGGAATATTAGAGAAGCTCTTTACCAGGATGCAAAGAAACCTTCTTGTAGAAACATTTTGACCTGGAAGATGCTCTTTGATCAAAGAAGTTGAAGCTTTGGTATTTTAAACACCCTCATATAGGAATATGTAGTTACTTTATACTAAATAGTCCATATGCTTAAAACTTACCTGAAATTATGCAAAAAAAAAATCCTGAGACTTAATTATCAGTAATATATATTATTAAAATAACCCAATAAAGTAACCATTTTTTTTTTCAGTGACCTCTATGTAGGTCCTTCTTGTAAAATTAAAAACCATATACTGCCAGTGACAATGACTAAAGAATTTTTCCATAAATAACAACTAGATCACTAAATGGAAAATTTACTGCCATTATTAAAGGAAATTCAGTTGTCAAAAAGTGGTTTAGAATCATGGATTTCCTTTAATAAGGAAAATAGATAAACTTTAGTGAGATTTTTGTTTTTATTTTTGTTTTTACTTTATAATATTTGAATTCAGCACATAGCCTCCTACTTGGAGATTCTGAGTTATTCCATTTATCATTCTAGCAAAGTAAATAAACATCAGTAACTTAGATCATTAGAAGGGATGCACACAGTTTACTATCCTCAGTGGAATGTGACTAACTCAAAAACAATCAAATTGACTAGTGTGAAAAAAAACTCAGAACAATAAAACATTGACAACTTACAAACACACCACTCAGATATTATGGAAATAAGCCCATCAAAATCACTCAAGAAATAAAAATAAAGCAAATTCACTTTGTTTGAATGTCAGAGGAATTTTCAGGTAATAGCTTGTAATATGAAGGGCACCTTTAGATTTCAAATGTGAATTTCAAGAACCTAAATCTTTCTTTCATAGAATTGCAATCCTTAGGAATTTCAAACGAATATATTCTTAATACAATTACAGGCCTTTTTCCTGTAAATGAGTTCTGCTATTTCTGTCATGTTTAATTTTATCTGTTGTATGTCTTTGTCTGCTTGCATGATATATGTTAAGTCTTTTTCAGAATGAGATGGAATACAATTTGTAAATACATTATTAGAAAAATAATATTTTACATATTTTCTGTATTTTGGATGCATTATCATTTCATCCTCCTAATAGTTTGAAATATGCTCCTCATTTTACAAAGACCTTAACTGAGGATTGAAACTTCATGAGATATTCAAGTTCACACAGATTATAAGTAATGACAATGAAATTTTTACATATCACTTTGATTCTCAAGAATTCAGCTTTATACTAAACAACATAAAATATTTTATAATGCTCTCCTTATAAAATATTTTACCATGGCAAATTCAATGCTATTTATTATAGAATATATATGATGTATTCATTTGCATAGCAAAATGGTCTCTGATTTTAATAGAAATCTCTGACATTATTGAACATAATAGAAAACAATACTAAAGTCTTATATCACTTCCAAATATGATGTGACTGATTCCTTTTGGGGCTTCTGAGCACAGTAAAAACTTATCCTGAGCTAATAATTTCCCTGTCAATACTGCCTATCATTGTCACCATGAAAGCCGGCAGCCATCTTTATTTTCCTTTTCTTGTTCTCCTTTTTTCCTGCTATATCAGTCACTGCAACCCTGCAGCCAGTATTTTGAAAGCATAATACAGGTTAACCCTTTCTCTTCAAAAGTTTGCATCCACCATTTCCATTTTACAAAAGACCTATTTTAGTACTTGTTTTCATGAATCGTTAACCTGTTGCTCCACCAAGGAGGGCCCTGATCCTGGCTTTAATGCAGGTTAGTATGATGGTTTGGTTTTGTAGATTATTTTTTTGGCCTGGGGGGTGATGTGACTAAAAAAAAAAAAATTAATATATTAATTAATATATTAATGGCAATTGCTTCTTCATTTTATACCACTTTGACTTAGCAAAGAATTTATAGTACCCTTTCAGATAATGAGGACACCTTTATATACTCTGTACCATGGCAGTCATAGAAAATTTCTCATGCAAACTGAATAATTCACAGAAACCTCAGTTTATTTGCTTTAAGAGCTGTGCATATTTCGACACCCAGGCCTTTTCTTCCCACCAGATAATTTGCTGGGAATCCTTTTACCTCTCCCACCTTTCTTTACTCACATAATCCTTTTTAGCTCTTTAAATTCAGGTTACAATTAAAATTTTCCAGAATTCTTTTAGCAACATACCTTCTGGAGCTGTTACAGGGATCATCACACTCTGTTCTAATGATATAAGTCTATGTTAGCCAGTATATTGGGGGTTTATCAAAGGTAAGATAGGATTAGTACTAGAAAATAATAAATATTCAATAAAACTATCACTTTATTATTCCTCAAAGAATATGTGAATATTTTTATCACTCAAAATATGTATCATTCCCCTGGGAAAGAATTTCGTAAGTTTTGGATTTGTAGAGATTATGGTTATATACTCACCCTGTTCACAGAAGTTTATGAAAGAAGAGATAGCAGCTTAGACTGAACCAGCACCATTCTATGCAGATATTTTTAAAAAACGTCAGTATTTTAAGAACAATTTATTTATATTCATGACCACGTGTAATTTAAGCTTTACTCATTTAACTGACCCCTCCCTAAATCTAAACTCTGCTTGGGTCTTAAGCTACACAATGCTGTCCTTCTTTAGATTTTTTTTTTTTTTCAAGAACAGCTCTCAATCAAGATTTGTGAACAGATTATCCCAACTATATATCCCACTGATACACTAAGGAGGTAGAAACTTCAGTGGAAGCTTCACTCCTTTGTTGCTCCAAAACAAAGTCATGGATCTTCAGGGGAGAGGGACATCATTTACCTCAGACATCCTGGGGATAAATTCAACAATTCAAAGACCCTGGATATCTAGGCACTGACTAATCCGAACCTCTACTCATCCTAGTGTTCCAACTGCACATTGAAAATTAATCCCTAAGAATCTTGTGGTGTTACAGTTACTTAATCCATCCATATTAAAACTGGGACTGTTCCAGGCATAACACAAGTACTATATAAAGTGTAACTAGGTGAGAATCATCTGTCAAACTTCTTTTTAGTGTACCTGTCTTAGCTCACTAGACATGGAACGTCTGTGCTCAATTATAACAATTTTGCTTTCACGAGGAAAACTAATTAAAATCAATATAGATAGAAATTTTTCAAGGAGTATGGCCTCCCTGTTCTGAAACAGTAAGTTTTGCTTTTATGCACACTTGAACGTGTTCATGAATCAGTCTAGATGGGTCTCACAACTAGAAGAAAATCCTATCATGAATGGAGACAACTTCTCTTTGGCTTGAGAGTCTGGGGTTCTGTTCTTCTCACCACCACAGAATGTATAACTCAGATTGCTCTGCTGGTAAATCCAGAACTCAACAGAGTGAACCAATTTTGGTGAATTCTAAAAAAGAAAAACTCCCAGTAAGCAGGCAGGTCTGCTGACATTTGATAATATCTAGTCGTCAGTGAGATTTTAGAAGGTGCCTGTGTGCACATTGATTCCTGGATTAAAAAGAAGCAGACAACAGAGTTTATGGAATAAAATTAATGCTAAAGCATTTTTGCAAGCATTTCATATGGGACCTCATGTTAGTTAATGTTTACTATTCATGGCCCGAATGGTTTGGTTAATTAAAGAAATCATTTGGGATAAGGAAGCACTCGGAAATGATTGTGGGTTTTGATACAGTTCATAATAAGCCTAGAGACTTGAGGGAGCCTTTCAAGTTTCTATAACACTGAATATATTTTCTTTTTGGCCCATTATTTACTTAACTGCAGGTCATTTATTTTGGCAAGAGAAAATGTACCAGTTTGATATCGAAAGGCCTATGAATTTTAACCTTCTTTTATTGCCCTATTATATCATTTGAGAATTTTTAGTTAAATGAAAAAAATGGTGATTTTTCTATATATTATGATTCCTCTCAGCTTCTGTGATTTTAGTTTCCATAATTTAAAGTGCATATTGAAAATAAATTGCTTTATTTGATTGCATGTATGCTTTCTGTTAATGAAGTCCAGTAGATACATTTAACATTGTATGTACACCTATGAAAAATAATATATTCAGTAATGGCTCTGAGGATAACTGAATCTGTATGTGTATCCAGTTAATGATCTTGCCTAATAACTATTTTCTTATTGCATAATAATGTGAGTTTATACTTCAGATCATGAATTATGCATGTCAGGGACAGATCAAGCTATTTTAGGTGTGAATATTAAGTTTACTAATACTTTTTTTTAATACTTACTCTTGCATTATGTGCACAGGACAAAGTCCAGCCATACCACCTCCATTAGCAACAGAGAAAGATTTCAGACCTGCTCCAGCATCACATAAGCTTGAAGGCAAGTATTTTCTTTTGTTCTTTTCCCCAGGAATCTTCTATAATATAAACAAAATACAGTGTAGAGAAGCAAATGAAAATAATAACAGCAACATGAATGGTATTTTATCAAATAGATTTACTATGTACACGTTATAGTTTACTGTTGCTGAGTTACAATTTACCTCTTTTTAGAAAACCAAACATTTTCTCTTAAGAATTTATATTAATGACTATCAGCTTCAGAGGGATAATCAGTTTTGAACACTTGAAATCAAGCTATAAAACTTAGGAATGAATAGACAAGTTTCTGCCATACAATTCTTGCAATTTTACTACAACTTGATCAAGATAGCATCTTACAATTCAAATGCTAGACTTTTTGGATGTGAATTTGAGTTTACCACTTACTAGTTGTGTAAATTTGGGAAGCTTTTAAAAGTCATAGTTCATGAGTTTTGTCATCATTAAGATCTAACAAGAATAGTTGTGATATCATAGAACAGTTGTGATGATGAAATAGTATATATGTGTGTATTTGTGTGTGTGTGCCAGTTTATAAATGTTCTAAGTAATTGGTAGTTAATAGTATTATTAACAATTTATTCTTCAAAAAATGGTGTTTTCAGACCTGCAAAAGTAAAGTTTCATATAATTAGTTTTGCTAGAAATTTAGATTCATTTCTTTTAGACAAAGTCACTTTTTCCAGTTACTTTCTAAATCCTAATGATAAGATCACATCAGTTATCGTGAAAGTTATGGGTCTGGATTGGGACATGCTGCTTTCCATAAACATCCAAGGAGAATTACTGAGCAGACCTGTCTAAACTGGTCCACAGAGGTCTAGAAGATATGATATTGCTGTTGTCAGGAATAATGCACTTGTGTATCGTGTGTATTTCCTCTATAACTTGTTTAACTTCTTTCCCCAAACCACATTACCTAATGAATAGTTAATAATGGGAAGCACATTTCAGTTTATTTCATGAATTCTTCACATCCCTCCCACAAAGGTGACCCATGCCCTGTTGACCATTTATTATTACTAGGAGAGATGATGGGAACTCTTGTTTTGAAAGAAGGTATGTTGGTTAACAACCTGTACTCTAGAATCACAAAGGTCTTGGTCTAAATTCTAGTTCTGCCACATTCTGTATGGATGACCTTCAGTCTGATACCTAACCTTGATTTACATCACTGAATATCGTTTATATATATAGGACCACACCCTTCAGGTGTATATTGACACACCATCCAGCACCAAGGCATCCATAGGCTTGCACCACAGCCCATTGTGTCCCTCCCCAATTTCAGATTTTTAGTAGTAAAAAGTATGATATGCATATTAACTAACAGAGAGGTGTTGTGAAGACAGAATGAAACCAGGGCCTCCCTGGTGGCCTAGTGGCTAAATCTCAGTACTATAATGCTGTTAAATAATGTGGCCTGAGTCCAGTCTCTGGCAGGGAGCTAAGCCACATATGACATATGGCACAGCAGACCTCTCTTATCTTACCTGCTGCTCCCCTCAGCAAGTGTATTTCAGTAGATCCACCTGGTCTGCTCCCTACTCTATCTCTGGTGAATCCTCTCAAACCCTGCACCTCTGGCCTGTACCCCAATTCTGTGAAAAAATATGTTTTTATTTTAAAAAAGAGCTTAAAAAAATAATAAGAAGAAGATAAGATAGGGCCCTCCCTGGTGGCGCAGCGGGTTAAAGCTCAGCACTGCGAAGCTAAAGCCACTTCATCATGAGTTCAATCCCCACCCAGAGGTGACTCAGTGGTGCAGCAGACCTCTCCTGACCTGCCTGCTGCTCCCCTCAGCAGTGTACTTCATCAGTCTGCCTGGTCTGTTCCCCCCTCTGTCTCTGGTGAGTCCTCTTACTGCTCCTGCACCTCTGGCCCATACTCTATTTCTTGTATGAATAAATAAATCTTAAAAATAAACAAAATTCACTGTACTTCAATTCTTTCACCTGCCCTCGCAGTTCTATATGCATAAATAAATAAATCTTAAAAAAATAGGATGAATCGGGCCCTCCCTGGTGGCGCAGCGGGTTAAAGCACAGCCCTAAGAAGCTTAAGCCACTTCCGCATGAGTTTGATCCCCGCCTGCCCCAGAGGAGATCCACATGGCGTGGCAGACCTCACCTGACCCACCCGCTGCTCCCCTCAGCAGTGTACTTCGTTGATCTGCCTGTTCTGTACCCCACTCTGTCTCTGGTGAATCCTCTCATCCTCCGCATGTCTGGCCTGTACCCCAGTTCCATATGAGTAAATAAATAAATCTTTTAAAAAAATAGGATGAATCTATAATAATTACCATGTTATTGGATTTAATATTGATGAACTTAAGAGTTCACTTTGACTGTATTTTGTTGACTTAACACATCTTTTACAAAGATCACTATTATCAAAATCAACTATGAATTTGGTAAAAATTGAATAATGACATAGATAGAGAGAGTCAGATTTGCTGGCAATTCAGAGGAAATACCTATATAGACATATTTCTAGAAGGTCTTAGTTAAGTTTTATGCACATTAACAATATTCAAGACCTATTAGTTTATATCCATGTGAAACAACTCTGATGGGCACCACCACTTGTTTTACACCAAATAGCTGAGGTCAGTGTCCTGTTTCAAGTAGTTATTTTTTGTTAATTTAGTTTTCTTTTAAAATTAAACCTGATCTTGATATCCTGGTGAGAAATTCATATTACAGTTAACCATAGACCCCCATCAAGCCTTTCAGCTATATATTGTGTTTCACACATTCAACAACCAAAGAACCTTGATACCTGGGCAGGTGAAGTTACGGTAAGGTTGTTTTTTGACACTGGCATGGTCTGTGCATTGGTATAGCCTGATTCCCAACCCAGTCATGTTTATGGATGTGCTTTTTCTTTCTTTCTTATTTATTTATTTATCTATTTATTTATTCATTCCTTCATTCCTTTATTTATTCATTTACGCATGCATGCATACAGAACTGGGGTACAAGCAGGAGGTGCAGGGATGGTGAGAAGATTCACCAGAGACAGAGTGGGGAGCAGAACAGGCGGATCAACAAAGTTTACTGCTGAGGGGAGCAGTGGGCAAGACAGGAGTGGTCTGCTGTGCCATGTGGATCACCTCCAGGGCTGGGGGTCGAACTCACACTGAAGGGCCCTGGCCAGCTTGCAGTACTGTATCCTAACCCTTTGCGCCACTCACATTTATTTAGAACATTATGTTGGATATATATATATATATATATATATATATATATGTACACTGACATTATATATATAATCTATATTTAATATTCAACATTATACATTATATATAATATTATATATTTAATAGATATATTTAATATTTAAAACCTCTCTAAAACAGACATTATTATTAATGATTAACAAATGTAGACTTGGAGTTTGTTTATTTATGCTAAATATCAAATACTGACCCTGAATTTTAAGTTCAACTCCCAGGATTCTTTTTATTATATTATTATTCAGACAGTGAAGTTTGAGGATCCTATGCCCCTAACTTTTAAGATGTAAGAATATTTTAGGAAAAAAAAATCAAGATTTTGTACTTTGAATATAGTAGAGTTCTATAATGGCAACATGGTATCCTGAAATCAGCTGAGAGTACTGCCCAAAACTTTTAAAAATTCATTGAAAAATCAACTGCACTCCAATTAAACTGAGTTTATACTAAGGTAATCCTAACAAACTGTAGAGTTCTTGTGAAATGCAGATTCCGGTTAGGTAGTTCTAGCATAGGACCTGAGATACTGCACTTGTTCAGGGCTCCCATTGACTGCCAATGCCATTGGGTCAGGGCCACATAAGAGTAGCAAATCCCCAGATGATTTAAGAGGGAGTTGGAGAGCAATTGCATATTTCTAAAAACACTTTTAATTTAATATTAGTCACTCGAGTGACATTTCATTGGCCAAATGTCCTTCAGAATGACTGGACTGTCACTTGTGGATGAATTCAACTGCTATTTTTCTGGGAACACAAAAGGCTTCAGGCCAAGTACAAAAACATTCTACAAAGGTTCACTGGAGAGCAAGAGAAATACCACTGGGAATGAGGGAGGAAGGTCACATTATACTTGTAAATTATAGCAACCTATTAAATAGTATGTAAACTAGTCTATTTGCTCAACGGCACAAATTGAATAAATTAACAGTTGCAAATTAAAAAAGAAATCCTATACAATCTGCAATTTCATACTGTAGCAATACCAATCTAAAAAAAGTGGTTTGATAGGTACAGATCCTGATTTCATGTAAAGTTCATATGATGGCTAGCTCCAAAAATCCAAGCCAAAAATGCTTTTTAAATATTAGGAGAATAATCCAGGATTTGAATTTTTGTCTCATATCTAATTCAGCTACAGTTTATTTGGTCTATGGGTCTTCTTTTATTTATTTTATTGACTTTTTTTTTTCCCAATGTGCTTTACTTGGGTGGGATGAGCTTCCTCTACTCTCCACTGACTTCCATGCTTCCTCTTCATCCATTTAGTTGCTTGACTCCAAATGTTATCTGTATTTGTGACAATTATGTGAAGAAATGTTTCTCTTGATACTATAACTTAACTTTTTAATCAACTTGGTGTCTTAATCAGCTTGGGCTGCTGTGATAAATTACTGTAGATTGAGTGGTTAAACACAGAAATTGTATTTTTTCACAGTGTTGAGGATGTGAATCCAAGATTAGGGTACAAACAGCTGGGTTCTGGTGAGAGATAACTTCCTGGGTAGCAGCAGGTCACCTTGCACCCTAAGAGTGGGTACCCTGACTTCTGATGCTTCTTTCTCCTCTTAGAAACACACCAGTTTTATGAGATCAGGATTCCATTCTTATGGCTTCATCTAAGGTTAGTCATCTCCTAAAATTGTCACATGGGAGTTAGGACCTGTATATATCTATTTGGATACCACTGGCAATGTCTAGGCTTAATTATTATAGAAAATAAATATAAACATTTATCTCATATAATTAAAGGTCTGAGTAATCAGTGATTTTTGCCCATTACATCTATATCAGATACAGTTTCTAACACTATAGATTCCCAACTTAAAACATCTACTGTAAATGCCTATCACTGATAGAAGTTAAATGTAAAAAAATCAACTGTACTCCAATAAAACTGAGTTTATAGTAAAGGTAATCCTAACAAAAAAAATCTGAGTAATTTCATCAATAGCTAGATAGTTTATAAACAAATGATTGAGAGAAAAAAAAATTATAGAACCTGGGAGAGAAAGAATCAGAGGTACAATTCTTTGGCATGGGAGCTATAATAGCTCATGTGCCTTGAGGTGATCTGACCCAAAATTGACAAGTTACTCTCACAGTTCCCAAATGTTCATGGGACAAGAGATATCTCATGAAAAATGATGTCACTTTAAGTTTCATCAAATTCTAATTCTATTGTTACAAGATATGCATAAATCAAAGTACTATAATCCCCCAATTTGAGTCAGATTATGATGATCAGAATGCTTAAGTGCGTGGCTTCTGCTTATCTCCTAGGAGCAATTCATAAAACACCAAAAAGCAAATATTTTGCTGATTGGCCTGTCATTTGGATGTGTCATTTGTTTAGTGGGACATATTGGTTGTATTGTTAAATTGAAAGAGCGATTTAATTTGACATTCCATGCTGGAGCCCAGTATTCTGTTTAAGTGAATAATGTAGAATTCACTTTTCACTTTTGGGAGGCAGGGAGGCTGCTGGCTTTGAGCAACTTCCCAAGGAGTCCAAGTTATCAGGCGATGCTGAGATCATGGGCTTTGTCAGGGCCTGCAGATGTGCT